CAGGAAGCAAATATGGCAACCAACAACAAGTCTTGTATTTTGCCAGTTATATCTTCCATCTTCTCAAGTGTTCTTAAACATCAATTAAACACTATATCTTTAAAGCACTTAATGTGGAAAAAAAAAAGTCTTAACTATACCTCTGTATGATGTTCGTTGCTTTCTTTAACACGTGCTTTTACTATATAAAGCATTTCCTTTTTTCATTCTTTTACAGCCACTACCATATGATTGATTGGTTTGTCACTATCGCCAAAAGTGGATGGAAAAGCATGTTTTTGGTATTGAAATTTCCCGATTTTTTTAGTATAGCATGTTCATATAATTTCTAATTATGGGAACATTTAATTTTGAAAGAATGTTGCTAGTTTTTTTATTCGAGTTGAAAGTATGTTATTATTAATAAAATGATATGGCTTAATGTTTAATTTGGTGTAAACATTGTTATTATTTCTTTGCTAATTTGGAATTTCATATGTGACATTTGGGTACGGATTAGTGATAGATTCAACACCTAATAGACCATTGCTAATTATATTAGTAACAATCATTAAATATATAGAAAAATTGTTCTTTTATAGATAATCAACAACGGATAAGCGACGATAATTAGCGACAGATCTTTGACAAAATGTACTTGATCGAAAAGTCTTCCGCGATACCCCATCCCTCGTTGATCTGTTGCCGACCATTAGCGATCATTGATTCGTCACTGATGGCCTTAGCGACGGATTTCCCGATGGAAATGTCCATCACCGATACCAACGTTTCTATTAGTGCACCACATATGAAAATCACATCAATCAATGGCTTCCACCTTCTGTCTCCGTGTAACTAAAACTAAATTTAATTAGTTCTAGATTTAATGTTATACTTTTAACTATTATCATGATTATTTAATCCAAATTTTACTTATCTAGTCAATTTCAAATTTCAATTATGATGATATGCGAAAATACTAACCATTGGTTGTACGTGAAGAAACGTATTATGATTTGATGTTATTATTAATTATTATATTGTGCATTATTTTTAAACTAGTTATTACTATTAAAAGTTATGAAAGATCATCCATTAGTTATTTTAAAACCATTAATTATTATTATTATTAAATACGTCAAAAGTTACAATTCTATGTCTAGGTAGAAAATTATTTTCTTTGCACATATGTGAAATCTTGTTACGTTTTATGGGTGATAAGATTTACATAATTAAAGGATGTTGTGTCAGAAGTAAAACTAGTGAACCATGTATGCAAGTTTTGTAAAGGGGAGTTCGTATACTATGTTCATATATGTACATGATTTGGGTCGTAACCTTGTAATAACAAGAGCTGAACATAATCCGGGTTAGTCCAATTCTAAACCGGTCCATAAATTGGGTCCAATCACTACTATCTTCATACCTATTTAGGTGGTGACATGTGTCATTCAATTTAATTTAAATTAGATTGAAATGTTAAATTTGTACACTTGTCACAATCATAAATATGTATCAATAAAAGGTAAGAGGATTTTTAATTTCTCTGAACTAAATATAGTTGAGGCAATTGTAAAGGCTAGTTTTATTAGATTCCTTTTGTTTGATCTATGTTCATATATGTACATGATTTGGGTAGTAACCTTGTAATACTAGAGTTGAACATAATCTGGGTTAGTCAGATTCTGAACCGTCCATAAATCGAGTCCCATTAAAATATAGGCAAATGTGGATTGAAATAAATATTGTTGAGGCAATTGTTAAGGTCAGTCTGGTACTACCTGTACCGGTTAAGTTTTATTAGATTCCTTTTTTCTGATCTAATGTGCTTGGTCTTTTTTTTTTTTAATAATAGAAACAATTTTTTTAAATACCTTATAACACTATTAATAATTATAGAGCATTAAGTGGTAAAAATTTATAAATTGACTTTTTTTAAAGTAATTAACTAAATGTTTTATAAAACTTACAAAAAATGCAATGGAAACTAAAAACATTCCAAAAAAAATGCATTGAAATGGCAAGAACTAAAATACCCATTAAACTTGCAAGAATTACAAAAACAAGCAATTAATTCTTGACAACAGCTTTCGACTTCATTTTATGCCTCACAACATCAACACCATTCAAATTCTTAAAATCGGCAAAAACATTCGACAACTCCACATACGCACCTTCATTGTTAGCCTCTGATTCCTCCATCTTTCTAGACGCAAGTTTAGCCATTTCCACATTTTTATAAATCCTGTTAGGATTTAGCAGTGCACCCCATGCTTCAGCAATCGGTGCACATGACATACTCTGGATGAAGCTAATGATTCATCCAAACGGCTCAATCGGCCGTATAAATCAACCATACATCCATAATGCTCTACTCTTTGGTCATAGATTTAGAATGCTTCCAACCTTCTTCAACAAGACCCGCTACACTACAAGCCTTTAAGATTGAAAGGAAAGTGACCTCATTTGGTGTGATGTTTTCTTGTTGCATAAGGGTAAAAAGGTCAAGATACTCTTTACCATAACCATGCATGGCTAGTCCTCCCATGGCACCACTCCATGTGTACACATTCTTTTCTTTCATCACCCAAAAAAACATTCATTGCCGTCTTAATACCCCCACACTTTGCGTACATGTGGACTAGTGCACTACCAAGAGTTGTGTTGATTTGTAATTTTTTATACTTTATATATCTATATGCCGGTTGTCCCGCATCTAAAGCACTTAACCGAGTGCATGCAGATAATACATTAACCTTCAAACCTTTCATTTCCATTGCGTTAAACAGTTCGAGTCCGTTTAAAGGCTCCCCGAAACGCACGTACCCTGCTTTCATTGCGTTCCAGGCAATCACATCTCGGTCGAGCGTTATTTCAAACTGTTGGCGTGTGAATTTGATATCTCCTAACTTTGCACAGGCGACCACCATTGTTGTCTGAGTTACCAAATCTGGGTTGTTGATGCTAAAAAACATATCTTTTAAGTCCCTAAGAGACCCCATTTCAGCGTACAAATTAATCAACCCGCTTTGAACATGTGGGTCTTGATCCAAGGCGTATTTCAAAGCAGTCCCATGTACAGCAGCAGAATTGATCTAGAACGTAAACAAGTAATTATCAGGTTTATGATTCGATTTTACAATTCTTTTATAGAAATCGAAGCTTTTTTCAGGAGTTGAGCTCTCTTGGAGTAAACTTTGATTGGAGAGTTTAAAGCAAAGACGGAGGGATTTTCACATTGGTCCAATAGTTGAACAGAATAATCGATATTTTGTGGGTGTTTGAGGGCTATTGATGCAGCAAATTTAGATACAAGATCTGGGCCGTTGAGGAAACCATTGACTAGCAATTGTGAGTGAATTTACTTTTTTTTTGTTTGTCATTAATTTCATAAAAGGAAAACTCTCGATATTATGTGGCAAAATAGCTTACCTAACATATACGAGAATTAATAAACAATTTCTTCTTATCAGAAAGTTGTTTAACGACATTACATGCCTTGGATATCTTCATACCAACCAACCTAATTAATGTAAGTCTCAAAAAAAACTCATGACACGTTGATTATTTATTGATCAATCGTTATCACTGTGCATTACCTATATATACTTGGTGCCTTGTACATTATTTTTCACAGGTTAATCTACTTCATTAATCTTCGATCACCTCTCAGAATCTTTTGACTCATCTTTAGCAACTCAAAAAAAATCCTAAATGGCTTCCACCTCCTACCTTTACATTTTTGCAATTGCACTATTCTCAATTACAACAAATGAGATGTGTTTTGCTTCCCGCAATTTGCTGCAAGCAACCACATTCCCGACACTACCACAACCACAGATACCAACAATCCCGACAATGCCACAGCCACAGATACCAACAATCCCGACAATGCCACAACCACAAATGCCCACCATCCCCACACTGCCACTACCACAAATACCCAGCATCCCTAACATGCCCAAAGTTTCCTTGCCTCCATTGCCTTCTATGCCTACCATCCCTAACTTTCCAACAACTCTTCCCAATATTCCTTTCTTTGTTCCACCACCTTCCAAGAACTAGATTGTACAACAATATCAAAAGAAAAGAAAATTCCATTATAGAGCTCAGGCGATTTGATTGATCCGGAGATTATAATGTTTTTTATTTGATCGCATTCATGATATTGTGGCTAGATTAAATTATTGTCGAGTGCTCTCATTCACATGTTTTTGTGTTTTGTGTAATTTGATATACTTTATAATATATTTTTTCTATTAAGGTTTATGATTTCCATTACTTTATATCTCAAGTGTTTCCTCGTATATAAAATTAGGCAATATGTTTGATATATATTATATATACAATTAATTTCGATTGCTCTTATCTACAGTAGCAGGTTTTGAGCCAAGCCAAACCATATTTCCTTTGGCTGGCTGGTTTGAGCCTCGCTTATATCGGGCTCTGGTCGTTGAAATGGTACATGTCTGCTGCCCTCGCCACTATACTGCTTGATATCTATACACGTAGTACAACATCGTTTTTTCCATTGATTTCTCTTTCATCTGCCGCCTGTAATTCAATTCGATTCTCCGTCTTCAATTTTTTTATCTACACAAATACGGGCGAACACGATAAAGGTTTCTTTTGCATTTGTTGAAATTGCACACCAAGATTTTTATCTGCTCCGAATCATCTTTCACGGAGGGTTTTCTCCTAATTTTTATTATCGATATGAATCCTGTTCCCCTTCACCGACGAAGTTGTTCCACCGTCTTCTACACCGTACGTCTTTTCTATCTATACTCTATTTTCTCAATTTTGTGGCTGTTCTTTCCGATTTCCGATCGTCGTTCTCTTTCGCAACAATCTGAATTATAAATTCGGTTATGGCCCCATTTTACTTTATCCAATGTGCGCCATTGGTGGTTTGGCCGACGGCTTTACAGTTTCCATTCCCGACTCCTTCAATCGCAATCTCCACCGTGTATTAGTCTGTCTTAATTCTGTGGTTAGAAGTCGTTGACTTTAGCTAAGGTCCATCTTCTACTATTGATTTTAACCCTAGATCGATTGAAGCCTTAAATAAAATTTGTTCTCCTTCCACCTCTTCGATTGCAATCATCTGCTATCTCCGCAATTGACAATGCCATCAGAAGCTTCACCGTCTCCGGCAACGATGCCGACCTCCTGTTGTAGGTGATTTTTTTTCTCTCCTGAAAATAGATTCTCATAAATAGATCGATTGTAAGTTGTTGGACCTGTTATTCAAGGAGCGAATAACATGGTAAAATCTTGAAGGGGGCGGTCTGTCATGCTTCCAAACCACTAGAGTTTTCGGATCCTGGGGAGCTGGTAGTGGGATTGAAGTAGCAGTTGGGTCCGTCCTTTTCTGAGTTTGGGAGTTTGGGATCAGGTATCACTGGAAGATAGTGTGTGGTATGAAATCCTCTTGGGTAGTGCTTCGCGGCTGTTAGGTATTGATCTGTGAGGTGCTAAAGAACGATTTCAAGGGCGAAATCAAATTAAGTGGGGGAGAATTGTAACGTCCGTAATTTCGGGTATGATAGTTTGCGATTCAATTTTTGAGGATGTAGGAGGGCCTCGACGAGTCGAAGTTCTGACTCGCCGAGTCACATCGAGTTGATTATGTAGATTTAATGAGCAGGCTCGACGAGTCCAAGGACAGACTCACCGAGTAGGTTATGGGCAGAGAAAACCTAAGTTTCCGGAGTTGGGGCCTATTTAAGGGAACTTATGACCTTGGGTGTGCCTCATACCTCCTATGAGAAGCCCTAAATTGCCATTGGATCCATGAGATAGTTCTTATGATGAAATCAAGTAATTTGGTGGGTCTAATGGAAGGAAAAGAGCATGATTCAAGCAAGAAACGAGATGGTGGTTGTGGATCTAGCATTTCTTCATGTGGAACTGTTGTAGAAGGTACATCCTTTTCATCTATTTTGGTTAGATTTCATGATCTTGGTAGTTATAGGGTTTTACTGCATTTCGTTTGTGCCTATGAGATAATTGAGACATGATCTGAGGAGGCAAACCTTATATCTGAACCTTGTGAGGTCCTTGAAGACTAGATGCCCCAACTTTAGTTGTCCAAATGAGGGCTGATGAGCTAAATCTTTCATGGAGGGCATGTAATGGCATTTTGAAGCAATAGCATCATGCATGAACGTAAAGATTGAAGCTTTACGTGATTATTGAGCCTTGAGATGATAGATCTATAGTTTAGAGTGATAGATCTGATTGAAATCGTCTGAATGAGAAAAGGGATGGATAGACTCATCGAGTCCATGAGACGACTCAACGAGTCGGTTAGGGTTTTCCTGGTCAAGCTGAATCACGTACTAACTCGGCGAGTTGTGGGGTTAACTCGACGAGTGGATTTGAATCCTCGCGAAACTTCAGAGAAAGTGAGTGGACTCGACGAGTCACAAGGGTGCACTCGCCGAGTCGGGTCAGATCTAGACTGTAGACTCGAGTTTGACTACAGTTGACTTTAGGGTTGGGTCAACCATGTGTGATGGAGGCCATGGTGGGGTAAAATGGTCTTTTACCCACTTCAAGAGTTAGACAGAGAAAGATAATACACTTGGATGTGTTTGAGTATGAGTAAGTATTGCTAACGGATGTTATCCTATGTGTTAGGTGAAAGCTAGGTCGAGATTTCCGAGTGCGAGGCTGTCAGTTGGTTGCTTTCAAGGTAAGTCTTCTCACTATACTTTACCTAGAGTGGTAATTATGTGTGACCGGAAGGTTTTATGTGCTATAATGAGTATGCGATGTATGTTGTTATATGATATGTATGTGCTATGATATGTTATGAGTAGTATGATGTGGACCGAAAGGTCAACGGTGTATGGGCTGGAAGGTCAACATGATATGGACCAGAAGGTCTACCAGGATTATGGACTAAAGTCCCTAAGACACATTGACTGGAAGGTCTCGTAGAGTTATAGCATTGAGTGGCTAATTGTATGCACGTGATATTTTGGGAAAGTCACTAAGCATGTGTGCTTACCGTGTTATGTGTTATGCGTTTCAGGTTATTATCAGGATTGCGGGAAGGTGGCGGCTCGATTTTACACACAAAAGAAAAGAGTCATTAATGAGGATCCTGAATTTTGATAATTACTTTTGAAAACTATTTCGAAATACGTTATGACATCGATACTCGAGATTTTTTGAATTATTAATTGTGACGTTGGAAATTTAAAATTGAAAATTTTGTTTGAAAATTTATGGTGTTACATGAACAAGATAGGTGTGCTACCATAAGCATATCTAGGTGGTTCCCGAGGTAGGCAAGGGAAAATTTTGGGGATAGCTTTTTACTTTGATCTTGGATCCGGCACTGTGTATATGTACTAAGAGTTGAGACATTGGCAACCATCCATGTGTAGATAATGAAATAAGTATTTCAAGGTAAGTTCATATAAGTAATATTATACAAAAGCCCTATATTTTACGCAGTACTTTTGTTACTAACCCCTAGGAAAAATATTTGAATTTTAATTATTAAATTTATAATCTAAAGATTGATATGCGAAACATTTTGTTACATATTTAAATGAAAGGCTAGAAGCATTTATCAAGGATTGCGTGATGTTGTTATTATGTTTCCCAAAGTTTGAAAGACATCAAACTACTTTAGTAGGTATATACAAAGTGCTACTATTCATATTTGGATTATAACTTTTAGCCTTTATAATTTTGTTTTTTCAATTAATCTTTCATATATTCGTGAAGTTGCTACTATCCATATTTGGATTATAACTTTTCAGCTCTAATTTTGATGTTTGTGATATGATTTCAGGAAGCAAATATGGCAACCAACAACAAGTCTTGTATTTTGCCAGTTATATCTTCCATCTTCTCAAGTGTTCTTAAACATCAATTAAACACTATATCTTTAAAGCACTTAATGTGGAAAAAAAAGTCTTAACTATACCTCTTTATGATGTTCGTTGCTTTCTTTAACATGTGCTTTTACTATATAAAGCATTTCCTTTTTTCATTCTTTTACAGCCACTACCATATGATTGATTGGTTTGTCACTATCGCCAAAAGTGGATGGAAAAGCATGTTTTTGGTATTGAAATTTCCGATTTTTTTAGTATAGCATGTTCATATAATTTCTAATTATGGGAACATTTAATTTGAAAGAATGTTGCTAGTTTTTTTATTCGAGTTGAAAGTATGTTATTATTAATAAAATGATATGGCTTAATGTTTAATTTGGTGTAAACATTGTTATTATTTCTTTGCTAATTTGGAATTTCATATGTGACATTTGGGTACGGATTAGTGATAGATTCAACACCTAATAGACCATTGCTAATTATATAAGTAACAATCATTAAATTTATAGAAAAATTGTTCCTTTATAGATAATCAACAACGGATAAGCGACGATAATTAGTGACAGATCTTTGACAAAATGTACTTGATCGAAAAGTCTTCCGCGATACCCCATCCCTCGTTGATCCGTTGCCGACCATTAGCGATCATTGATTGGCCTTAGCGACGGATTTCCCGATGGAAATGTTCATCACCGATACCAACGTTTCTATTAGTGCACCACATATGAAAATCACATCAATCAAGGGCTTCCACCTTCTGTCTCCGTGTAACTAAAACTAAATTTAATTCTAGATTTAATGTTATACTTTTAACTATTATCATGATTATTTAATCCAAATTTTACTTATCTAGTCAATTCTAAACCGGTCCATAAATTGGGTTGTAACCTTGTAATAACAAGAGCTGAACATAATCTGGGTTAGTCCAATTCTAAACCGGTCCATAAATTGGGTCCAATCACTACTATCTTCATACCTATTTAGGTGGTGACATGTGTCATTCAATTTAACTTAAATTAGATTGAAATGTTAAATATGTACACTTGTCACAATCATAAATATGTATGAATAAAAGGTAAGAGGATTTTTAATTTCTCTGAACTAAATATAGTTGAGGCAATTGTAAAGGCTAGTTTTATTAGATTCCTTTTGTTTGATCTATGTTCATATATGTACATGATTTGGGTAGTAACCTTGTAATACCAGAGTTGAACATAATCTGGGTTAGTCAGATTCTAAACCGTCCATAAATCGAGTCCCATTAAAATATAGGCAAATGTGGATTGAAATAAATATTGTTGAGGCAATTGTTAAGTCAGTCTGGTACTACCGGTACGGTTAAGTTTTATTAGATTCCTTTTTTCTGATCTAATGTGCTTGGTCTTTTTTTTTTTTTTAATAATAGAAACAATTTTTTTAAATACCTTATAACACTATTAATAATTATAGAGCATTAAGTGGTAAAAATTTATAAATTGACTTTTTTTAAAGTAATTAACTAAATGTTTTATAAAACTTACAAAAAATGCAATGGAAACTAAAAACATTCCAAAAAAATGCATTGAAATGGTAAGAACTAAAATACCCATTAAACTTGCAAGAATTACAAAAACAAGCAATTAATTCTTGACAACAGCTTTCGACTTCATTTTATGCCTCACAACATCAACACCATTCAAATTCTTAAAATCGGCAAAAACATTCGACAACTCCACATATACGGACAACTACACATACGCACCTTCATTGTTAGCCTCTGATTCCTCCATCTTTCTAGACGCAAGTTTAGCCATTTCCACATTTTTATAAATCCTGTTAGGATTTAGCAGTGCACCCCATGCTTCAGCAATCGGTGCACATGACATACTCTGGATGAAGCGTAATGATTCATCCAAACGGCTCAATCGGCCGTATAAATCAACCATACATCTATAATGCTCTACTCTTTGGTCATACATTTAGAATGCTTCCAACCGTCTTCAACAAGACACGCTACACTACAAGCCTTTAAGATTGAAAGGAAAGTGACCTCATTTGGTGTGATGTTTTCTTGTTGCATAAGGGTAAAAAGGTCCAGATACTCTTTACCATAACCATGCATGGCTAGTCCTCCCATGGCACCACTCCATGTGTACACATTCTTTTCTTTCATCACCCAAAAAAACATTCATTGCCGTCTTAATACCCCCACACTTTGCGTACATGTGGACTAGTGCACTACCAAGAGTTGTGTTGATTTGTAATTTTTTATACTTTATATATCTATATGCCGGTTGTCCCGCATCTAAAGCACTTAACCGAGTGCATGCAGATAATACATTAACCTTCAAACCTTTCATTTCCATTGCGTTAAACAGTTCGAGTCCGTTTAAAGGCTCCCCGAAACGCACGTACCCTGCTTTCATTGCGTTCCAGGCAATCACATCTCGGTCGAGCGTTATTTCAAACTGTTGGCGTGTGAATTTGATATCTCCTAACTTTGCACAGGCGACCACCATTGTTGTCTGAGTTACCAAATCTGGGTTGTTGATGCTAAAAAACATATCTTTTAAGTCCCTAAGAGACCCCATTTCAGCGTACAAATTAATCAACCCGCTTTGAACATGTGGGTCTTGATCCAAGGCGTATTTCAAAGCAGTCCCATGTACAGCAGCAGAATTGATCTAGAACGTAAACAAGTAATTATCAGGTTTATGATTCGATTTTACAATTCTTTTATAGAAATCGAAGCTTTTTTCAGGAGTTGAGCTCTCTTGGAGTAAACTTTGATTGGAGAGTTTAAAGCAAAGACGGAGGGATTTTCACATTGGTCCAATAGTTGAACAGAATAATCGATATTTTGTGGGTGTTTGAGGGCTATTGATGCAGCAAATTTAGATACAAGATCTGGGCCGTTGAGGAAACCATTGACTAGCAATTGTGAGTGAATTTACTTTTTTTTTTGTTTGTCATTAATTTCATAAAAGGAAAACTCTCGATATTATGTGGCAAAATAGCTTACCTAACATATACGAGAATTAAAAACAATTTCTTCTTATCAGAAAGTTGTTTAACGACATTACATGCCTTGGATATCTTCATACCAACCAACCTAATTAATGTAAGTCTCAAAAAAAACTCATGACACGTTGATTATTTATTGATCAATCGTTATCACTGTGCATTACCTATATATACTTGCTCCCTTTTACATTATTTTTCACAAATTAATCAACTTCATTAATCTACGATCACCTCTCAGAATCTGTTGACTCATCTTTAGCAACTCAAAAAAAATCCTACAATGGCATCCACCTCCTACCTTTACATTTTTGCAATTGCACTATTCTCAATTACAACAAATGAGATGTGTTTTGCTTCCCGCAATTTGCTGCAAGCAACCACATTCCCGACACTACCACAACCACAGATACCAACAATCCCGACAATGCCACAGCCACAGATACCAACAATCCCGACAATGCCACAACCACAAATGCCCACCATCCCCACACTGCCACTACCACAAATACCCAGCATCCCTAACATGCCCAAAGTTTCCTTGCCTCCATTGCCTTCTATGCCTACCATCTCTAACTTTCCAACAACTCTTCCCAATATTCCTTTCTTCGCTCCACCACCTTCCAAGAACTAGATTGTACAACGATATCAAAAGAAAAGAAAATTCCATTATAGAGCTCAGGCGATTTGATTGATCCGGAGATTATAATGTTTTTTATTTGATCGCATTCATGATATTTGTGGCTAGATTAAATTATTGTCGAGTGCTCTCATTCACATGTTTTTGTGTTTTGTGTAATTTGATATACTTTGTAATATATTTTTTCTATTAAGGTTGATGATTTCCATTACTTTAATTATATCTCAAGTGTTTCCTCGTATGTAAAATTAGGCAACATGTTTGATATATATTAACATTACATAACAAAAATTATTAAAAATATACGTTATTAAAAACAATTATTTCATTTTACGTTTACTGTAAAATAATGAAAATCTTATAATAAGCTGAAGTATATATTTTAAAACAAATATATATGTTACAATCACATTAATCAATGGCTTCAATCCATGGTTTGAGTGAAAATAAAGTAAAATTTTATGTTTAGATTTAATGTTAACTTTTTAACTATTGTTATTATTAATTAGTAAAAGCTTATGTATTTGGTTATTTTTAAGTTTGATTATGAAGCTTTTTTAAGATATATACCATTATGTAGAGTTAATTAATGTAATTTTACTTATCATTTTATGTTAATACTATAGTTTTTAGACTAAATTACAAAAATAGTCCCTATGGTTTGTCAAATGTCACAAAGTCAGTCACTGTTAATTTTTTTTATGCAAATGGTCATTGTGGTTTGCAAAACTTGCATAGATAGCCATTTTACTAACTCCGTTTGTATTCAGGTAATGACATTTTCGTCTTTTCAAGTATAAAATGACTGAATTCGTGACATTTGGTAAACCACAATGACCATTTTGATAATATATTTTAAAATAATATAAATGATAGAAAATGAGTTTTTTTATACTCAAAAGTTTAGGACCATATGGGATTAGTATTATTCTTGTGTTTCACCTTGCATGTTTTTGACTTCCCGAAAAATAAGATTATTCAAACCATCCACAGTTCGTCATACTTTGGAAGTATGTATGAAAGAAGACTATCATGAACCTGACTGTAGATTGTTTAAAGTGTCTTAGACATTGCAAAAGTTTGTTGCAGAGTGCTCCTATAAGATTAGAGTATTGGACTAAATCCACGCTCACTTGAATCGCTTCATGGATTTTATCACGCGTGATTCGTGAGACGATAATATCCTAGATTCTTGAAACCGGGACGTGTGAATTGTATTATGTTATTCGGTCGCACATTGATAATATGCAAACGCACCAGTAACTTGGTGTTATAAAACATATTGTTGTGTGTGATTTGATGAGTAGGTACAAGCGAGCATTGAGTCCAAGTTTATCTGTTACTTTTACCCAAAGTAGGATAAAAGCGATATATGTGGGCAACTCGATGATTTAGTGATGACACCGTAAGCGCTTGGCCAAGCCGGGACTAAGTTGATGTGTTCAATTATAGTGTGTTGTCAGTCGTCATAAATCGGAAATCAGGAAACAACACATGAACAGAGAGTATGATTAAAATCCATGTCTCAGTTCATATGATATCTGGAATGGAGGAATATATCATCCTTCATCTAAAGGACATGTTTCTGATATGATCAGAGTTCGACAGCGGCTTTTGAAAGCTACGATTGCTGATCAGGTTTCGAAGTCATATGCAATATAGTTATTAGACTTGTCCACGTGAGAGGCTGTTGGATTAGGTGTCTAAGCCCATAAATATTTTGGTATGTACTTGACCCGATTGTGAGCATGGTCCTTTTGGGTTGCCTTCACCATAACAGCTGATAGGATGAAGTAAGGAGAAAAAGGATTAATTATGATTTATTAATATATTATATGAATAATATATTAAAAGAGAAATCATAGTGTTTAATTAATATTAGTCAAGAATTAATAATAATTAATTTTTTGGCTAAAAGATATTAATTAAATAAAGGGGACTGAATGTGTAATTATAAGACAGTTGCATAAATGGGCTAATGGACTCCATAGAAGTTGGAGTGGACGAAATCTATAGGGAAACTCATAAGAATTCGTCCAAGGCCTCTAAGGAGGGAGTTCATGGGCTGCTTAGGGCCTAAGCAGTCAAATTAGGGTTTCCTAGTTCAAAACCCTAATAGCCTACCTATATAAGGAACCCCTAAGGCCCCAAAAATGTGGTGAAGTATTCCCTAAGGGTTCTTGGAAGTTTTTGGTGCTCCTCCTCCTTCTCCTAGGTCATCTTCTTGCTCATGGTGTTTGTAAATCCATTAGAGGTGCAACATTTGAGGCACTAAGCTGTCAAAGGTCAAGATCAAAAGGAACTTAGTTTGTTATTGCTACATAACAATCAAGGTAAGATCTAAACTATATTCTTTTGTCAATTTCGATTATTCTATGCTAGAATTAGGGTTTATGAGCTTTGGATGATTATTGCATGTTCATTAGACAAACTAGATCCAAAGCTTTGGGGTTCGCATGTACACCATAGGATTGAGGTAGTGCTCAAAACCATCAGGTTTTAACCATACTCAAAAGAGGTGAACTAAGTAGAGTTTGTATGTGTCTTTGATGTTATCTAAGTTTTATTCTGACTATGCTCAATGTTATATGGATCCAAAGTAAAGGTGTGTTGGTTGGAGCCTATAACCAGTTATGGATATAGAAGGTGAGGGGAAGGGGAAAAGAGTACAAGGCTTATGAACAAGACAGGTGTACTACCATAAGCATATCTAGGTGGTTCTCGAGGTAGCAAAGGAAAATTTTTGGGTATAGCCTTTTACTTTAATCTTGGATCCGCCACTTTGTATGTGTACTAAGAGTTGAAACATTGGTAACCACCCATGTGTAGATAATGAAATAAGTATTTCAAGGTAAGTTCACATAAGTAATATTATACAAAAACCCTAGATTTTATGCAATTCTTTTTTTACTAACTCATAACTGGAAAAAATATTTGTATTTTAATTCTTAAATTTATAACCTAACAGATTGATATGCCAAACAATTCGGTTACATATTTAAATGAAAAGTTAATGCATTTTCCAAGGAGTGCGTGAAGTTGTTATTATGTTTCCCATGCCTACAAGTTTGAAAGATATCAAACTACTTTAGTAGGTATATTACATAGTGCTACTATTCATATTTGGATTATGACCTTTTAGCCTTTATAATTTAGTTCTTTCAATTAATTTCTCATATATTCATGAAGTTGCCATTATCCATATTTGGATTATAACTTTTCAGCTCTAATTTTGATGTTTGTGATATGATTTTAGGAAGCAAATATGGCAATCAACAACAAGTCTTGTATTTTTATATCTTCCATCTTCTCAAGTGTTTTTAAACATCAATTAAACACTAATATTTAAAGCATTTAATGTGGAAAAAATAGCCTTAACTATAACTCTTTATGATGTTCATTACCTTCTTAACATGTGCTTTTACTATATAAAACATTTACTTTTTTCGTTCTTTTACAGCCACTACCATATGATTGTTTGGTTTGTCACTAACGTCAAAAGTGGATGGAAAAGTATGTTTATGGTATTGAAATTTCCCAATGTTTTTTTTTTTTATTTTTTTAGTATAGCATTTTCATACAATTTATAATTATGGGAACATTTACTTAGGTCTTCACAACCACAACTTCTGATGACCATAAAGCATTCCACTACTCTTATTGAAATAATCAAAACGATAGTGCATGATTATCACAAATATATTATAAGGATAGAAACAAAAACTTTTACAAATTGTGTAAATTGTACGTTGCTATTAATTGTTGCTAGTTTTTTATTTAAGTTGAAAGTATGTTGCTAGTTTTTTATTTGATTTGAAAGTATGTTATTATTAATAAAATGATACGACATGATGTTTAATTTGGTGTAAACATGGTTTTAATTTCTTTGTTAATCCGGAATTTCATTTGTGACATTTGGGTACAGATTAA